GACCATTTCTGGCCGGCAACTTTCAGCGTCATTAAGCCGCTGCACCACCGCGTCCCCCTTAAGGACTAGGGTACCTAAAAACAATTTGTCTGCATATATGTTTCCAGTGGTTTTAAAGTATTCAATAGATGCCCTTTCCACGTACAACCGTGGCTATTATGAGGAAGGCCTTGGTGGTAGCTCCATCCCACTGGATTGCTAATTGTGCAACTGCCACCTAAATGGGTGACATTTTACTACCAGATGAAGCACTTTTGACCTATATTATCTCAGTAAGTGCTTTTGTGCCTTGTGCTTATTTTACTACTTTTATGCTGATTTATAATTGTGTTTTAATTTTCCCATTTTATTTGTTATTACTGGTACTCAATCCTGGGAACTGGCTGAATGTTAGAATATAAATCTCTAAAATAAAGTCATTGCATAATACAATTCAGCTATGCCAAATGAAGGAAAAAAGGCTCTGCCCATATGAAGCTCCCTTACACAAAAATGGTTGGTGCATGCCATACAGAAATCCTTCTATGTAAAGACAGGGATTAAGTAGGATGTTTTCTGTATAGAAGTGCGCTCACAATCTTCTCATGTGCCCACTTTGAAGATCCTTTTGGAATTCTGCATAATTTTATCACCTATCACATGAGGGATGTTCTCTGAGTTTCTCTCCTTTGGAATTAGGATTATAAGAACAGAACAACTGATAGAAGAGATGGTTTTCCAAAGCAACTAGGAAGTCCATGACTTCTTGGCACCAAATTTAAGTAACAAAACATGAGCCATTATTTTATGTAGAGAATATTTTATTAGTTTCTGTAATCAAACCCATGTAAATAAGACCTTACATATTTAATACAGTGCGTTACCCCTGTACAAATGAAAAAAAAAGTTTAAACTTTTCTAGACCAATATGGCTGTTAATTTCTGTACAATGCCAACTCACAGTACAAGTGGATATCTTTCTCCAAAGCTGACATCACAGCTAAATTTCCAAAAAATGCAAATTATAATATTTATATAAAAAAGATAACCAACAGCATTTCACTAGGCATCAATAGCAGCAACAGACTTTTCCAGATTTTGCCATCATCTGAACAAAATTATACACATTACACTTTTTTGATTCATTCTTTGTTCCAGAAAGGTGTTGGGGAAAGAAAGAAATTCTCAGAAGAAACAGTTCGGTAAATGATGTGCCAATGTGGTGCCTTCCAATTGACTTGAAAAGTCTGAGTAACTTCATTTAAACAGCTCTGCTATAGCACAGTCACAACTACATATTGTAAGCAGGAATGAGATATTTTACATTCACAGAAGTTATCATACAGTACTTTCCCTACAGCTATACTACTAAAGGATACAATTAAAGGCATTATTTGACTTGATTCTATTTTCCAGCACAATGAGCAGAAAGAAAGTGTGATGCAGCTTTGATATAAATATCTGGTATTTTGTGGCCCAAGATCAAGTGCTTGTTGCTTTATATTCACATAAACTGAGAAGCATTTTAAGGCCAAAGGCTTTCTTCTCAAGCACTGTGTAGTTCAAGCTCAATGTAACTGGCAAATATAACTCCTGAAGGGAGCCTCCCAAATCTGCCCTTCCGGTATTACATTAATGTGGAGAAGCAATTCGCATCTTTTTTTTTCGGTTAAATTCAGCACCATAATCAAACTGTAGTAGCAGACATATCCTGCCTTTCTTGGAAATCTGACAACAAACATTTACAAAATGAAATGGTGTGCGGTGGGAGGTAGGGGAAGAATGGAGGGTGATTAAGCTGCTCTTTATGACTTTATTCATTGCTGTAAATTCTCTTGCTCCATTCTGAAAGAACAACATCTTATTTGGACATGAGCAGCACAAAATCAAACCCAGTGTTCTATCCAGCGTGGTGTTCTCCAATCTGCCCTAAATAAATCAGAAGCAAAAAGGAGAATGTTTACCTTTGGCTAATAAAATACCTCAGGAGCATTATTTAATTTTGCATCCTTGAAAAACAGACAGGTGCTTCAATTCAGATTGATCACATTCATTCATGCAATGGCATAGAAAATATAAGTCCCACGATTCCAGATCTTTAGCGCTCATAGCTGATCACATCTGTCTCTGCTTTTGCTACTCATAGCTTTGAACAGGTACGTCTTGCCCTCTGGGCTAAAGATTTGTTCAGCTGTCACTTCACTCTCCATATTGGTATGCAGACAAATTACTTATGATTTTGTTTCTTCTGTCTTGATGGCCTGAGGTTTGATTGGACCAGTTCTAATAGGCTTGGGTGCTGTTGCAGGATTCTGTTTCTCTTCCACTTTGTCTTGGCAGACTCCAGAGGTGGAGTCTGTCACTGCCTCTGGAGCTTTATTCCCATTGTCACCCACTTTCTGTATTTTGCCTCCAGGTGGCTTACTCTGCTGCTGTTCAGAGAAGAATCTCTGTGTTGACTGAATGACTTCTGCTCTCTGCTTTGCCTTAATAAAAAAGGATGGTGACATTAATCAAAGCAGTCCAAAACAACAGCAGGTACTTATTCTGCTCATTAAGGTTTAAAAAAAACACACCAGTAATACTTCTCAAAATGGAATCTAGTACTATCTGCTATAATAATGGACCTATCTTGAAATTTCTCTTTTATATACTAATAGTTGCCTCCCATTCTGTGGACTTCAATTCCTACTGGTTATTTCCCACCAGCAGTTTTTGCATTCCCTTAGATCTAAATCCTACTAGAAGTAATACAAGAATTAGGAGGCTCAGTCATGATTTTGAGTACTGTTATCAGAAATAGTAACTGAAATTGCCAGACAAGAAAGCACCTAATAATATGAAGCATAGTTTTCATACAGTATGAAAATAGCAATTTTATTGGACAAAGTGACTAGATACTTATTACAGACAGCAAGTTTGCACTCACTTTCTTCAAAATGTTTTCCTTCTTGGATACTGTAAATTCATTAAGATAAGGTTGACAAGCTTACTGAAAGAGACATCTATTTATGAGCCAAGCTCTGAAATAATCATTTGAAGTTTTATTTGTTTGGAATTATCTGATAGAAAAGGTGCAGAAAATATACTTAAGTCCTCTTTTGTGGACCCAGAGTAGGTGGGGCAAAAAATTAGTTTACAGCTTTTGTCTTTCCGGGGTAGGGGGAGTGTTAAGGGGCAAAATGGGGCCATATGTCTTTATCTTTTTATGCCTGAAGTCCCTCCCAAAAAGGGCCCTTGGGAAATCTGCCTAGTATAAAATGTATATCCTTTTTCTTGTCCAGCCCACCAGCACACTGATGATACTGGTTCTAATTAATTGTATTTATTCTAGTTTTATTGATCTAATATTCATTTGTTATTTTTACTAACTTAATATTGCAATTGTATGCTTTTCCCCTATAAATAATGCTGTGTGTTTTGAAAATAGAAGAATAACACATAAATTTATAATTTCAATACCCACCAACTGGGGCTTGGAAAAATAACAGAACAGAGAGATATGACGATTTTAGCAATGCATTGATAAATCAAGTGGTCTCACTTTTCTCAGAATAACACTTTCTTTTATGAATGAAAATAATGGAAAAGATTAAAGAAGCTATGCCATCACTTGCAGTCAAACAGGTTCACTGATTTCAGATTCTTTCTGCTTTTATGACATCCCCACATGGACTTTGCAGGACAGCTCATATTTAAGGGAAAAAAGGGTTTCATTGAGAAGAGTCTCCAAGTGCTTTTCTATCAATTTTATGCAGTGAAATGCAGCTATGGGTGGGTAAGTATGAGTTTTATAGACTTGAAAAAAAGAGAAGAACACGGAGAATGAATACAATTGACCAGGTCTTAGACTGCATTAAAAATAAGTAGGTGAACTTAATCTATTGCTGGAAGCTTAGCAACGGGTTCTGCTGTTCTGTTTCTACTTGGCCGCTTCAGAGAGGGAAATCTGCATCTTAAACAAAGAGTAGTATCTTGTCTTGCAAGCTGTTAAGACTGTACTGTGGTTAACACAGCGTGGCCATCCAAAAATACTAACCTTTATGTCTTGTTCAGCCTTCATCGCAGCCTGGGCCTGATTGCCTCTGACTCCAGAGAATGATCCACAAGGACCCCTCGCCACATGTGGCAAACGAGGGTGGCTCAAAAGACCTGTGGTCATCTGAGGTGGCATCTGACTAGCCAGTGCCAATGGCGGCCTCTGAACGGGTGCTGGGAAGGTGTTAGTATGTGGGGCTCTTACCAATGGAGGGACCAGGTTAGGCTGAGAGAGGATCTAAGTGGGGGAAAAAAACAACAACAAAAAAGAGAGACATTTAGCTGTTAGCAAACTGCCAACCTGATCTTATGGTGGCTTTTCTGCAGGGAGCATGCCTCTGTTATTTAACAGTGCCAAGTAGTGGGTTCATTTTCTCTGTGAAGATTGGCCCTGTTTGGAAAATTCAATGTGGAAAAATTGTAAGGTGGATACTGTGCTTAAAAACTGTAGCAGCACATCAAGGACCATGAGGAATGAGGGGAGAAGAGAAGGGCATCTTCAAATATGTCAAGATGCAGGAAGTGTTAGAACTTAGGTTTATGCCTCTAGGCAATATCCAGCATCTGCAAATTTGATGTGCAATATCCAAGGCAGTCTCAAGTCAAAAGTATACACCTCATCTCTCCCTATCAGAAGCTTTACAGCATTTGCATTCTTTTAAAGAGGGCTTGGTGTGGTTTTTTTTTTTTTCGCTGACTGTAGCTATTTTAGAAATCTACTTCACAGCTGCATTTCATGTAAGTGACTAAGGGCAAAACAATCGCTATTAGTTTCTGTACAACCTGAGTGATATGGTAGGGGTTATGCAAGGAGACATTTGCTGCCTGACAATTCCCATTCTTTCTGCACAGGAGACATGCTGAACAGTTGCTGGAGACATGAAGCCCTTCTCTGACACGCTATTTCGTTCTTCTCCCTTCAAATGATTAACATTGAGTTATAATGAGAGCCATGTGGGGAAGTCTGTGGTCATCTGTTTGCTGTCCAATTTCTCAGCTTCACGAGCATAGATATTACTGAAAACAACATATGTTCCTCCAGATACCAAAACAGTCACATTAATTATAATTATGGAAAGCATAGTGAATCAAGTATATGACATACTTCAGCATCCAGGAAGTTTTAATTCAAAACAAAATCAAGCTATTGAATATCCCATCCCACTGCAGAAAGCCAGCTGCTGCCCACCTGCGGTGCAAACTGAGGAGGAAATGGTTGAGTCATTCTCACAGCTGCTGACTGAAACTGCTTCTGGTAAATAATGGTGTTCATTTTATTGGACTGACTGTTTGGACTTGTAGAGACAGCCCTTGAAGAGAAAATACATGAAGCTGGTTAAAACATCATAAATGACATCAACTGTTGTTATGTTCATATTTTTACCTTATCCACAGGAGAAATAAGTATTATTAAGTAAACAATGGTTTCAGGTTATGCAAGGAAATGTGCGTTAACAGCATACTCTGCATCACCATTAAATCCATGTAAAATTACATTTAATACTTTTAGCCACATAATGAGAAAATAGTGCTTTGGTAATTCTTTTGGATTCCGATGAATATGCATGCAGAATGCTTGCAGACACACATATCTTCAAAGTAATGAAAGTTCTGTCTTTTTACGTTAGTGTATTGATGCTCATTAGAAGCAGAGAACTTCATTGTATTTCTGAATGTAGTCTGAACTACAAACTTAGTTGGGCATTTGGCCAATTAAATGGCTGAATAAAGCTTAAAGGTATAAAGCCTTAGTTTCTGAATTTCTATAAAGGAAGTCAATCTAGACAAGCTAAGGTAATGCATTCTGAAATCAGCACATGTCCTTGAAAAGTTCTCTAACACAACAAGAGGCCCTGAGAGTATATTATTCCTTTATAGAGAGACAGATTCTGAGTTTCTCTCGGTGGTTTGATATCTTCTAGAAAACAACTTTCTGTATGATACTGGTAGTTTAACCTCATGGGATGCCACAGCCTCTTATAATATTAATGACTGGCCCTAAATACTGCTATATTAAAATACTAAGAATTCTTAATCCAACCTATCCATAATTTGACATGGGGTTTTATTCTAGGCAATACATAAAATCTAGTAATTTATAAACTACAAAAAGCCAGTTTCCTACTTTTTGCTCCTCTTCTACTGCTTTCTGTCTTTCAAGAAAGCAATATATTCCAAAAACTGTTGGCAAGATATCCCTTATTACTCGTATTTTTTTTGGTTTTCAAGAAGAGTGGCTTTTCCATTTTCACTTGTTCATAGGCTTCTGTAAAACTCAGAGCTTAGTACAGCACTAACAAAATTGTCCATGTCCTTCCTTCAACCTACAGTAAAAAATCTGAATTACTAATGAGAGATACGCATCGTTGCTCAGCAATTGTTTCATCTATGTAATATTTGGGGTTCAACCAAAATCTGAGAGACTATATAGAAATGTCACAGAAGATAGCTGTATAAAAAGCTAAGTCAGGCATGGTTAGTACTAGGATGGGAGACTACCAAAACATCCCAGAAGGCAACAGCAAGCCAATTCTGCAACGTGATCAAAAAAGTAACATGACTGTCCCCATGCTGTTATCACAAGTCAAACTCAACTCAAGGGAGACTTTACTTTTATAAAATATAGGTAATGAAATGAAAACAAGTTATTCAAAGCATAAGATTCAGAAATGCTATCAAATACTGTGAGGCTTTCATTGGCAGCATTTAATATCCAAATCACTGTCATGTTGAATCCTGGTATTTATGTTTATTTGTAGCAGAATATTGCAGACACAAAGCTGTGCTATTAACATAATTGCTAATATAACTGTAAATTGGGCACTGAACTACCACTCCGTCTTCTTATTTTCTGCAAAATAATATTGTCTTTCCAAACAGATTTCCCTTTTCAGTTGTCAAATAGTTGAGCTTTTAGCTAACATTCTGATATGGTTTCTTTTTAGAGAGAATACATCAAAATACAATCTCAAGTGAACAATGACAATGTCTATTACTGGTACTCCTGGATATATCTATATTTCTGAGCCAGCCAGTGCATTCATTCCTAATCCTTAAAATCCCTATAAACAATGTAAATTCTCTTTTTCCAAAAATGAAAACCAAGACATTTTACAAATCATAGCTGAGTAATGTTTTGCAGAATTTCACATTTTTAGAATAGCCTTCATCAGGTTAGTGCTATTAACACAGAAATGTAAGAATAATCTTAATGAATCAGGCCAAGGCCCATTTCAGTGTACCACTCTGTTTTTCACAGTAGTCAACCAAATGTTTCAACCAAGAGGAAACATTCATACCTGTTTCCTGCCATTTTCTCCTGCAACTGGAATTTGGAGGCAGGCTATCCTCCAACCCAAAGGTAACATGGAGTTGAAGACTGAGCCCTGCAATTCATTCTTTTATCTGAACCCGTTATAAAGGTATTCTGATTATTGGCCATCAAGTCTCATACTAATAAATTCTACAGGCCAAAAATGAGCAGTGTGAAGAAGTACCTTCTTCTGTCTGTCCTAATTCTCCTTCCAGTCAGCTTTATTGGATGACTTCTGGTCCTGATGCCATGCAATTTTATACACCTTGATCATGTACCCCATTCAGATGCCTTTTTTCTAAGTGAAAGAGTCCCAAATGTTCTATTCTTTTCTTGTAATTCAGGACCCCAATAATTTTGGTTGTCCTTTCTGCACTTTTTTTTTTAGCTCTATTGTATTTTTTTCAAATGTGGCAACCAGAAATTCATTCAGTATTCCAACTGAAACTTACCACAGATTTGTGTAATGGCATTAAAGTGTTGACAGTTTTATTTTCAATCCCCTTCCTAATGATCTCTAGCATAGCATTTGCCATTTTTGCAGCTGCTGCACACTGACTTGGCATCTTCACTAAGCTCTCCCAAGAGTTTTTTCCCTAGGTAGTATCGGACTTCATCAGTGCAAATGGAATGGCACTTGCCATTTGGCTGACCATTCAGCTGCCTTCAAGAGATCCTTCCGGAGCTCTTCACTCTTACTTTTTTTACCACTCTAAATCAAGATACGGTGATTTCCGAACAAGTTAAAAAGCACAAGTACCAATAGAGATCCTTGAGAGACCCCACTTGTTTCCATCCACTAAGAAAACCGCTCACTTATTCCAACTCTTTAATTTCTTTTTTTAAATCACTTTGCAATCCACAAAATAACAGATCATCTTATCCCATGCCTACTAAGTATATTCAGGAGTCTTTGATGAGGAACTTTGTCAGAAGTTTTTTGAATGTTCCAATATACAAAGTTGACAGGATCACTTTGACTGATGTGCCTGTTTACACTCCTAAAATGCCCCAGAAAGTTGGTGAGAGAAGATTTGCCTTTGCAGAACCCATTATGACTTTCTTTTGATAGGACTTATTCCTTTATGTGCTTATTTTTTCTTTCTGATTGGCCTATAATTTCCCGTGTCTTTTTTTAAAAAATGATGTCACATTGACTATCTTCCAGTTCTCTGGTACTGAAGTCGATGTGAGGAATAAACTACATGGTTTTGCTAGAAGCTCAGCATTCTCACATTTGAGTTCTTTAAGTACTCTTGGGTTGATGCCCTCAAACTCAATGATATGTTGTTACATAGTCTCTCAAAATGCCCTAAAATATTTTTATTGCTTCAATTTGCCTCCCTGCAAAAGTCAACACAGGCTCAGGTATCTCTCCTATAATTTCAGTAGTGAAGACAGAATGTAAAAACTTAATTCAGTTTCTGTGCACTCCATACGTTATTTTTATTTCTGTATCAGTCCACTTGTTTCCCTGCCCAGTTCTGCGCTTTGAATATATTTTTAAAAATTCTTATTGTTTTCCTTGAAGTTTTTGCCTTCTGCTTCTGAAATACTTTTCTGGCCCTGTGCTGGCTAGAGTTCCTTTATCTCTGGAGGACATGAGGTTGGGGAAAGTTATGTTAGAAGTTAATCTGCATGAAATACAATATTCTCCACAAAGAATTGTAATAAATATTTCTCTGAATTATCACCCTTATTCATCCAGCATTCCTGTATTCCATTTCTGTTTTCAAAATGGCATTGTTATACTAAAGTTTAATTCAATTCTGAATTCCTTCCCCTCTTTCTCTCTTTTTTAAATCAATTCCAGCACAAGTCTATAAAGTTGATTTGTTTGAAAAGACTTGTTTACCGGAAGGGGCTAGAAGTTGGGGTGGTGCTTCGTCCAGAAACTGGAGGAGTGCCTGGCTTATCAATACCACTTCCAAAAGCCTTCAAGTCCATTTCTGACATCTGAAGAAAAACAACAAGGTTATTTACAGCACAAAATAAAATACTGATATGTTTATCAAGTATTCAGTCATACTGATTTAACTAGAGGGACCCATATTTATAAGTCCTTCATTAGAATGGCAATGAAAATTAATCTACATCCTTACTCTAACATTTCTGAACAAAGCAGTCAATAATTTTATTTGGATACATCAGGTTATTATCCCTGATGCATGCAGCTCAAATAAATGAAAAAGCAGGGCAAACTGAACAGATCACTTTTAAGTCATCCATTCAAAAATAAAACCACAGATTCTGCAGGAATGCAGTTTTACTTTGTGTTTGCCTTTCAACACTCAAATAAGAGAACCAAGTAATCTTTCTGTAAGGTGATAAACTGAGAGTGAGGATTGAGACAAATTTTAATATGTGTGTAAGCCACCTAGAATGAACTTGGAATACAATAAGAATCAAATGCACATTTCCATCTACATCTCCAAACGTATGAATTGGGAACAAGAAAAAATGTGAGTAAATACACATAAAAGGTTCCTTTTCTGGGAATATGATTAAGACAAACAGAAATAATTGTAAATCAACTTTTGCATAAATTCCCTTGCATTCATCCTATCGAACCATATAAAGAATATCAGCAGCATACACATTCCTAACATAAACTATTCAAAGGTGAACTGTTTTAACTCTCACTCTTCAATAGGATTTAGAACGTATGTTTAATTCTCTTCACTGTAAACTATGGACGCAGAACAGCTTAATTTTGGCTATATAGTACCTGTAATAGGCTACTATGGAATTCATTAGACACGCCAGAGGCTAAGTGCCACATGCGGGCCTTCCAGCCCATAATCTCCCTCTTCTAGAGTCTTCATCCATATCTTAGTCAAGCAGAATGAAGTTTTTAGGAAGGGGTGGAGGGAAGGAATTAAGAAGCCAACACTGAAACAGTCACTGTGAACTAAATTATGTTATCTGCTTATTAATTCTAAACTAATTTGATCATTGTTAGTATTCATTTTCTACTATCACTGTGATTCCCATAGTACGTGCCGTGGTTCCCTGGTGCCGCAGCAAGCTCACAGGGGCACTGCAGAATATTTCACTATGTAATAAATGAAATGGTTAGCGAGTTCGCTGCAGCACCCTAGTGCACAGTTTGGGAATGGCTCGGGTTCCGTGAACTGATGAAGTCTGGGAATCTCTGTGGTATCATATGGCAAGATTAACATGAACACCTTTACCTTCCCAGTTATAATGCTGTGCTGAGTTCCAGCTGGAATTAGTCCTCTGAAAGGCTGACCTACTTGGGTTGGCCGACTCAGGCTTTGAGCCTGAGGTTGTGGTGGTGTGTGCTGCAATGGAGGCTGAAGGGATTGTGGAAGAGCAATTAAAGGCTGGCCTGCTGATCCAAAGTTGGGCAAAGAAAGTTGTGATCCTGGTATAGGTACTGTCACCTGGAAAAAAATGAGAAACTATTGGACAAACAGGTACCTTATTAACTGCATTAAAACAAAATTGTCATTTGTGTACACTGATGAAAAATATACACATTTTGCCTCCTATATACTGCTGATGTATCTTGCAACTATTTTTTGTGCATCAGGGAAGAAAAAAATATTCACATTTCTATTCCTTAAGGTTGCAGAGAAAACTTTGAAATTACATAGATAGTAACTATTATTCAGAAAACAAGCTGGATTATATTCATTACAAATAAAATTCTTCCATTACTTCCCCATATTATAATTAATCCCTTTTATCTTCGCAATTTCTTTAAACATACAGATTTTGGAAATAAGGTGTCAGTTTTCTAGTTGCTAATGTACTTTGGAAATTCTGAACTTGCAAAATCATGGCAATCTTATTTACTTATTTATACCCTTTAAAATGGCTAGTAATAAATAGCCAATTAAAATAGTAATTATCAATTAGAATAGTAAAAAATTAAAAAGTGATGTCATTAGCAAACATTGCATATACACAAAGCCAAGACATTAAAGAAATAGAGCAATTTAAAAATATGAGCAAATATGAAAGTGTTACTGGGTGATACCATCTCAGAGGCACCAGTGAAAACTTCTGAAGAACTGTGCCTGGCATGATCATGTGAGAGAAAGGATTCTTCAAGTATGCTGACCCCTCTATGATTAGAGTGTGAGTCAGTACTGTGAAAGGTGCTCAGAAGCCAGTGCAGCTTTTACATCAATTCCAGGTTATAATCTAACTGCAATATTTTGAACTAATGGAAATTTACAAGGTTGCTCCCATATTTAATACAAAAAGGATGCTATAAATGTTTATTTATTGCATTTAAAGGCCACTGGCTCCATCATAAATTTGATATATAATTGTGGCCAAGTTTTTTCTGTTGAGGAGGGTTTGCTATTGGCATACCAGCCTGAATTAATGACATGCCACCAAAGCTATATGGGCTAGAGCAATGTTTCTCAACCTCAGCAGCTTTAAGATGGGTGGACTCCAACTCCCAGAAGGCTGGCTGGGGAATTCTGGGAGTTGACGTCCACCCAGTTTATAGTTGCTGAGCTTGAGAAACACTGGGCTAGAGACAAGGCTGGATTTAATTTCACACTGTGAACTTAATTCTGATGGGGAGTCAGACCCTTTCCAGGAGGAAGCTAAGTCTTTGACTTATGGCTAATGTTAGAAACTGGTTCAACATTTCCATTGCTTTGCTTGAATTAGATGAAAAAAAAAAAGACCTTGCTATTACGTTATTCTGAATTTGTTTTCATGCTAAATAGCATAGGAGATAAAACTGAGTCCTATGCTTTACTGTATCACAACAGTATTTCCATCTTACCCATTCTAGTATGATTGGAATTATTAAAGAGCAAACATTATTTTTGCCTGTTGCTCTAGGAGGATAATATGATTGATGGTATCAAATCTAAGAGATCCAGGATAATTTACAGGGTTCTTGTTCTTCTCTTTTATAAATAAACCTTTAGTTGAAGTGGAGATTATATGCTCCATAATTCTGTCTCAAAAGAGGGTAATTATCACTAGCCAACTATTGGAGAAATGACGTGATTCAGCAGGTGGATGGGCAACTACCTCCTTTAAAGTAGTGAGGAATATTCCCTCGTACTGCCAGGTTTAATACTTCTCATGCTCTATTCATGCTATTATTGTTATTTGCCTTCAAATCAGTCTTGACTCCTGGCAACTACATAACTGCATGTAGTTAATGAGAGCCACTCTTAGGAGAAGATGCTTACAGATGGTTGCCTTGTCCATCTTTCATGAAACAACCAACTGCTAGAGCATTGACAATAAACACTGGAAACCTCAAGGACTAATAGGAATCTATTCATCTGGGACTCTGAGCACAACTATCTCAACAGGCTCAAAACTTCACTAGGAAATGATCTGACCATAAAGTAGCATTAAAAATCTTTTCATCCAGGGCACATTCCTTATGCATCATTGAGAAAACTAAATCTAGATGACCCACTCTCTATTGGGCTCATAATAGAACATGTTATAGCAGCAATTAAGTTATGAGATGCCCCAGAAAAGGTGGACTTGGTGAGGATGTTGAAGTCTCTTTAGGAAAACTCTGAGACTATAACTTCATTCTAGGATCACTGTAAGGGTAACCAAAGCAGACATGCTTCATATCAAAGAAACTTCTGACAAGAGAATATTTTAGTAATAGAGGAATACCACTCCCAAAAATAAATGTTCCTGTGCTAAAGCAATCTGTTAAAAAAGCAAAAAGAAGTTATTAAAAAGTAATATTCCAGGTTAAGGAATTGTTTTAGATATCTGCTATATAGTGTGCTATCTACTTTGCACAAAATGGAATATTCTCTTGTCATTGAATTACAACATTACATACACCACACACATATGGATATTTAGAAAATTGAAAGCAATTTACCATGCCATAGTTTACCTGCTGGAGAGTACTGGGAGACTGAGCAGTGTTATAAAAACTTGTCTGACCTGGTTGCTGAACCTGTCCAGAATACAAATTTGAGGCCTGGGTAAGAGTAGCTCTCGCCTGAGAAGAAAGAGGTCAACATTTTCTAGGTGACTAACTAGGCAAAGTTATTTTAACTTGAAGAGCAGAACAAATATTAGTATTTTATTTTGTAGGTAATCATTCTGCTTACTGCAGTATTTTACTATTTGGAAAAGTAGCTAGTATAAAGCAAAGATACCCTTTATGTATGTCAGATAAGCTGCCAGCTGAATCAGAAAAAAGCATTAAAACATATCATGACTTTTATATATGTGCCTCCAAAAACTGCCTTATAATTAAGACATCTTGCTACATTCTATTTGTTTTCTCTTTGCTGTAGAGCTGAGCACTGGAAGATGTGTCTGAAGCCTCAATCAGGGATGGTTCAAAATTTGATAGGGTTACAGTGAAGAATTGTCTGGAGGGTTCCCTCTGACACTGGGATTGCCCAGTGCCCCCAGCCACTGGTGGAGACAGTGGCTGTCAGCTGTTTCTTAATATAATTACCCACAATGGCCACAACAAATTGTTGTCCAAAGAACTGTAGACCCCCCCCCCCCCACAAAGAGATGTTACATCACAGACAGGTTAATCAGAATAATGAGCAGTCCACAAATTACATGAGAATACCAGATGTTGTCATACGCCCTGATTCTGGCTTTGTCATTAAGAGCTCAGCTACTGATTGCCACAATTAAAACAGTAAGGGAGGAAAAAGAATAGGTGAAAGTAGGTCACATATATGGGGCATCTCAACCTAATTAAGCAAAACGCTGTTTCCTGATAAGTCAGTGGCTGTATGTATGCCATATCTCACATTAAGTTATACAAACAGAAACAAGTGTGGTGTAATACATCGATATTGGACCTGGTACATCACAAAGATGAGGTTATTCCAAAGAATCATTGTATTGTGGAGAAGGCCCATCTCTTCATGTCTACCAGGCAGCAGATCCAAAGACAATAGGATCAATGCTAAATATATTAGGTGCCTAGGAAGGCAGTTGTAACTAGAGACATTATTTTAGACAAGCTGCTCTCAGGTTGCTTAGGACTTTGTAATAGCAACATCCTGAATCTGGTTGGTAACAGACTGGCAGCGAATACAGATCTTTCAGCACGGGTATAAAGTGTACACAGTGTCATATTCCAGTCAATAGCCTGGCCACTGCATTCTACATTAGCTGTAGTTTCCAGACTAGTCTCAAGGGCAGTCCACAAAGACTAAATTACTATAATCTAATCATGAAGTTATCAGTTCACGAATCACTGGACAAGTCATTGCTGTCCATTAATAGACACAACTGGCATACCAGGCTAACATGGAGAGCTTTCTTTTGATTTATCTGCTTAGTTTATTTGCTGAATATATACTGTTGAATCTAAACAAGTCATGGTGATTTACAAGATGACAATCACTAAAATATCACACTGGTTCTTCAGTTAGAAGAAATGGATTATCTGGACCTTTTCAGTTTCGGTTCAGGCCAGGTACAGAACTGAATCTACACTGATTGCTCTTATAGATGACCAGGAGTGGAACAAGATAGGGGAAGTATGACCCTTGATTTCTCAGTAGCTTTTCATATCATTAATCATGGTATCCTTCTGGATTGCCTATGAGGGTTGGGAGTGGGGGGCACTATCTAGAGTGGTTCTCCTCCTTCCTAAATAAGCAATTCCAGCTAGTGCTAAAGGGAGACATCAGGCACTACAGCTTTCTTTGTAGGGTGACACAGGTTTAGAAGATTTTGCCCATTTTTAAACATCTGCGTGAAGACACTAAGGAAGTACGCTGATGATACTCAGTTGAGCATCTCAACTCCAACCAAACAGAAGATGTGGTCGAGGTTATAATCTCACTGCCTAGATTATGTTTGGTTCTGGGAGGGGATGAACAGGTTTAGGCTTTGTCTCAGGATGATGGAGTAGCTATGGGTGTAGAAACCATCTCATGTCAGAGATACTCCATCTTTGATTCTGAACAGGGTTATGCTTCCTGTGTAGAGCTGCCTCTGCTCCCAGGACCCAAACCTTTTCACTTCCCACATATGGGGAATATAAAACATTTACAACTTGGACAAGTGTATAAGATAGGCCAGTTCTACCTGGAGAAGGTCCTGAAAATACATAGGAGCTTTGTTAAAACCGGCACTTTGAATTGCACTTAGAAATCTGACAGCCGATGCAGTGCTTGCAACTTAAGTGTTATATGGCTGATGCAGTTCTCATCTGCCAACTTGATTCAGACTTAACTTCAGCCTCTTTTTTCACATCCAGGCCCTCAGACACCGGACCACAATTTTCACAGCATCTTCAGCCTGACCCAGGATAGAGATGTATAACTGTATCAACATACTAATGACACCTCACTTCAAACCAATGGATAACCTCTTTTAGTGCATGTAGTTGCTGAACAGTAGTAGATACAATGTTGACAGTAAGTTTATGAATCCTTTAGAATTATCCATAATCCTGCAGTTCTATGATTTACAATGCAATCTCAGCTTCATTTAATAGAAAAAAATAGATACAAATTTTAATAGATAAAAAGATTCTGATTAAACCAACCACACATGGTTGGTGTGGAATGTCTTTAATACACGAAGTCAACATTCACTGTCTTTGTTGGAAAAAAATATGTGAAGCCCTAGGATAATCTTAAGAGTGTAAATGGAATCAGATGAATCAATAACAATCTCTTTAACTACTAACAGGCCTCTGTTCACAATGTAGGTCACCATACTACAGGATTAGATAGTTCTAAAAGGTTCACAACCTTTCTCTCACCACTGTCGTAGCAGACACTGAACATAAACACAACATATAAAGTGTGTTTATATACACCCAGTTCCCTTTTGTTCCATGAAAAAAGACAGTGACTCCAATGCTTCTGTAACCACATTAGGAACATCTGTTTTTCTGACCTGGAGCAGATGTGTATCAATAAGCTGGGAACCTCCTAATCCTGAAGCTTGACCCAACTGATGCTCGTACAGGATAGGAATAGGTTGAGTGTTGGATGTCTGTTGAAATGCAAGGCTTGACTGTGCCTTGGCAAGTTCTTGATGCTGCACTGCTGGGAAGTTGTGTAAAGCTGTGCCCGAAAGAACCACTGGAGATGGCTGAGACAAGCCACTTTGCATAAATGCCTGCTGAGATCTGTTTTAAAAAGTGGCCTAAATTAGTCATTTAAATATTGTTAATTTATTAAAAAGCTGCCACTGAAAGAAAACTTTAAAGCTGCACTGGAAAAAACAAGCAAAATATTCAAGCAAACAGAATGGATAATTTGCATATACAGTGGGGCAAAAAAGTATTTAGTCAGCCACCAATTGTGCAAGTTCTTCCACTTAAAAAGGGGTCTTTCAGCATGACAATGATCCCAAACACACTGCCCGGGCAACGAAGGAGTGGCTTCGTAAGAAGCATTTCAAGGTCCTGGAGTGGCCTAGCCAGTCTCCAGATCTCAACCCTCTTTCAGCATGACAATGATCCCAAACACACTGCCCGGGCAACGAAGGAGTGGCTTCGTAAGAAGCATTTCAAGGTCCTGGAGTGGCCTAGCCAGTCTCCAGATCTCAACCCTCTTTCAGCATGACAATGATCCCAAACACACTGCCCGGGCAACGAAGGAGTGGCTTCGTAAGAAGCATTTCAAGGTCCTGGAGTGGCCTAGCCAGTCTCCAGATCTCAACCCTCTTTCAGCATGACAATGATCCCAAACACACTGCCCGGGCAACGAAGGAGTGGCTTCGTAAGAAGCATTTCAAGGTCCTGGAGTGGCCTAGCCAGTCTCCAGATCTCAACCCTCTTTCAGCATGACAATGATCCCAAACACACTGCCCGGGCAACGAAGGAGTGGCTTCGTAAGAAGCATTTCAAGGTCCTGGAGTGGCCTAGCCAGTCTCCAGATCTCAACCCTCTTTCAGCATGACAATGATCCCAAACACACTGCCCGGGCAACGAAGGAGTGGCTTCGTAAGAAGCATTTCAAGGTCCTGGAGTGGCCTAGCCAGTCTCCAGATCTCAACCCTCTTTCAGCATGACAATGATCCCAAACACACTGCCCGGGCAACGAAGGAGTGGCTTCGTAAGAAGCATTTCAAGGTCCTGGAGTGGCCTAGCCAGTCTCCAGATCTCAACCCTCATTTTGTCTCTCATAGTTGAGGTATACCTATGATGAAAATTACAGGCCTCTCTCATCTTTTTTAGTGGGAGAACTTGCACAATTGGTGGCTGACTAAATACTTTTTTGCCCCACTGTAATACCATGCCTGGATTTGTTCAACATCATTGTAGTTTGTTTGAGTATCTAAATGTATACAAGGAAAAGAATCCCAATTTAAGGCATGACTGGAAGTTGGGCTTTTAAATCCTGGCTTCTTTTAATCATAATTTATGGCTGAATCTGGAATCCTGGTCTCTTTGATGCTCTGCCCAATATGATGAAGTTTAAGGGGGTAGAAATTAAAAAGAAGTCTCCTCAGACTAAACTATAGTTCCATATTGCTTAAAACACAGGGGTTAAGTAAAAACCTAATCTCTAAATGTTAAATCACATACATTCCCCCACAGAACTCAACAAGAACAACATTTCACAGAAGGGAAACTGATAAAAGAAAAGTACACTATCAAAATTCCAATCTCCATCAAATATATGCATAAAAACTGACAAAACATGTGCTGTAGCAATCTGACCCATCATACAAAAAGAATAGAGACAGATTTCTGAAGCACCTCCTCAAAACAGTCCTTATGGAGAGAGGCAAAATTGGTCCATATAACCCCCTACTCCAGTAGTTTCCAATTTGGGGTGGGGTGATGTAATGATATGCGGGAAAGACCTCAGGAGACAGGGTGAAGAAATGCTGCCTAGGGAATGGTCAGATAAGAGACAGCATAGCCTGCAGCTGGGTGCAGCAAGAGGCTCAGAAGGGACCCTCCCTAGTTTCTTGGGCTGTAAAGGAGATGGTGGGAGAATTGTACTTTCAGACTTGCAGGATTCTGTTACTGTAGCTTTATAATAAAGTAGAATTAGCGTATCTGGTTGTGTTTCCTGTCTGGTCTACCTGGTAAGGCTGACAGGTGGTAAACATATTTGGACTTGTGGAAAATGGGTTATGGCAGGTCTTATTTATTCAAAAACTGGTTTTCCAGAGGGACATAACCAGTTACAAAGCACTGCTTTGCTTTGAATGCTACCTGCCAACACTTCCAGCTCTTCCCCAGCAGGATGCGCCCAACTATCAGATTCTCTTTTCAAAAATGGAAAGTTTTTTAAAATGTAAAAAGTTAGGTGGGGATGGAGATTGATAGGCAGCAGGACAGATGCCTTTGGGCACAGGAGATGGCTCACAGTGGGTGGCATGCTAGGGGACCTATCCCTACACAAAAGTCACTGAAAAACATGCACACACACACTTTAGACATTATATATATGGGATCTTGAGAAGGAATAAAAATGTCCACATTTACTATTTCTACTTAGAAACAAATATGTTTCTTTCTTTAAGTTCTCTTCTTGGTTTATTCTTCTTTTCAACTCTGCAAGATTTTCTTTTTGTCTTCATGTTTCATTTATTCAGTAAATAAGCAAACATACAAACTCAGAGACAAGAAACATATTGCTCAATCAAAAAAAAAATACTCTCCTAATAATGCTCACAGCCAAATAGGATATTTGGGTGCTGGAAGAAGAAATGGAGGACAAATTTTACAGGAATTGGTTCTGAGCATGTTTCTGTATATGCATGGGAAGATTTCTGGTGTGCTTTAGTATATATGGTTCAGAATATCTTTAATGCAGATGTGTATTTTGTCAGGGTTTCCACTGCTTGGCGGGGGGCAAGTTAGGTCTTTTAAGAGCCTGGGGGCACATGTTTTATGTGTATGTGGTGTGCCTAGCTGTGAAAACTTTTGAGAGACAACTGTACATTTTTATACGGCATATGCTTTGCCGGCATGCATTTTTCTAAACTTCTGTAATTTCTCTCCTGCAAAATAGTTGTTGTATTTTGTGGGAAGAAATAGATGGTTTGGTATGTGGAGCTGAGATCTCTTTTCTTTATCCTCAGTGAGGAGCTGGGTACAGAACAAAGATTGTTATCACAGAGAAGGAGAAATTTAGAAAAAGCAAGGAATCACAGCATAGCCTGAGCAGCAGTACCTTTTTATAGCATCAATTTATTCTGCACTACTATGAATCAGCAAGCACTTGGGCAGAGTTTAAAGCTATGATTCCATATTCTAAAAATAACAAGCCACTGTTAAAATAATATAGAATTTGTAAAATAACAAATCATGGTTTCAGCTATAACAGATGTTCAGGTTTTTCTGAATTAAGGATCACAATTGAGCTTTCTGATCAGAATGTTGTAAGGTGGTGACATTATCGAAGGGGGCAGAACTAACCACAGATACAACCAAACAAGTCTTGATATTATTTTTCATTTCAAATTTTGTTTTTCATCTTGTTTATACAACTTCAAGAAAAGATTTTTAACACAAGACCTAGACTCAATTAATTAGCAATTGTAATGTACTTGCTTAAACCACATGCCTTATAAAAACTGTTTTAAGCCAAAGCCAACCACTTATTTGAAGATCCTACAAAGATGCAGCATTTAATTCATAAGTTTCCCCTTCCTCACAACTTACGATACTTCAATGCTTCTTTCAGTTTTATAAAAATGAAGCCATTATAAAAAGCCAGTAATATTCTGAACAAAGAAGATATTTCATAAAATACATGTAGTAATATTCTTAAAAGTTCTAAATCTTTCACTTTAAGAAAATCTGAACACTGATTCCTAACAACAACAATCTCAGTCAAATGAACTTATTTGAACTGATGTTGGTAACAATGCAATTTTACAAAATAATGGGTATTTTACCACTCTTACACTGATAGGTATGAATAAACTAACTGTGCATACATGTAGGAGAAAAAGACAGAAACCAGTATTTTCTGTTTCCTGATTCTATTTTTTTCATATTTCAAAGACTTACCTGTATGGCTGCAGAGAAGAATTAAACAACTCCTGAGCCTGGGAGACAGCAGGTGCCGCTCCTAAGCTCAGCTGGGCTTGATGCTGCCCTTGAAGAGGGGCGTATATTGGGATTGGTATCTGCTGAACTGAAGTAGGCTGGAAGGAAGAGAAATAATTTAAATATCTACACAACCCACCAACTTAGGAAACTCTCCTGAACTGAATCCATCCAGCTAGTACACTCTCTTGTGGTGTTTCTCCATAGTCTCAGCAGAGAGAGGTTTCTAGCCTTATGATTTCAGAGCCTTTAACTGTAGGTTTAGTTATTTATAATATTTGTATACTGCTTCCCATTTTAAAAACAATCTCAGAGCGGTTTATGATAGAATGATAAATTAGACACTGATCAGTGAACTGGACATTTTCATATGCCAGAAAAAATGTTTAAAAGTAAGCATCTGAAATGGAATAGAAACCATTTAAAATTTTTAATTAAATGCCAATAATCAGTCTACTCCATAATTCTTAAATCAGATACAATTTTGTCCCCCAGCAAACCTGCATGCTGGTGATAAACAGTTCTCAAACTCCCTCCATATTAATTCCCACTCTTTTCCCAACAGTATCTGAGAGAACATTTTTTGTTGGTGAATATCATCACCCCATACTCTTTTTCATTTCCACTTATCACTTATTCATATTCACCCAGAATTACATATTATTTCCCTGCTAGAGTAATTAAAACCTCCAACTAGCACCAATGCTAGCTTAACTGCTATTGTGAGAGTGATGACAAAAAACAAGGCTGAATAGGCTTCAAGCTAGATAATGTTCTGATTTAGGCTGCATATAATTATAAACTGCTTGTTCCCCAATCCCCATCCTATGTACCTGTGAGAGTCCTGGTTGAAATCCTTGCTGCTGGGCAAGGGAAGGAGGAGCCAAACGTGCATGTTGGGTGTTGAATAGATGAGTTGTATCCATATAGAAAGCAGGAATTTGAGCTATAGGACCACAAGAAAAGATCAAAATTAAACTATAAAGAAAAAAAATAAATTTGCCTAGCTGCTAAATCCATGGAGGATTTCAAAGGTAGAAAAAATAACTAATTTCCCAACCCTCAGAGGAATTCCAATGCCCTCATGAACATGAAATTAAGTTTATATGACTGGGGGAAAATAATAGTTTGTAAAGATCCATACCAGAAAATATCCAGAAGCTATTAGAAGAGCTGAACTTAAATTCAGTGACTTTTAATTTCAGAGAAAAAAAATGTTTCTAAATATAATGCAATGAATAACCTATCACATTACCTGCTGTTGATTGAGACACATAGACCTGTGGACTTTGCTGTTGTTGGGCAATCAGAGATGGCATACAGCTTAATTGGGAAAAATGACCAGCGGATGCTAAATTGCTTGTTTGTAACTGTTGTGGCTTCACTTTACAGATGTTGGGTGGATCGGAGGTTGTAGTGGTTTTTGTACTCAGTGAGGAAGTAGTGTATGTTCCAGCTCCTAAGATTAGAAATCAGCAAAGCAAGACTCAAGAGTTACTGACTGACAAAATATTTCAGCACAATAATCAAAAGTTTGATCCACCTTAGCTTGCTGCACCTAGTTTGATGGACCTTTATGCAATTGCATTACAACAATATTTTATTAAAATATTCTCTCCATTTCAGAACAGTATCGCACAAGGATACCTCTCCCTACATGAAGTGGCATGATAGTGAAACCTTAACAACATGCACAAAAACTCTCTGATAGAGACACACGTAGCAGCTATGTTCTTCAAGAATGAAATTTTCTTGAAGATACAGTACTGTGCAAAAGTTTTAGGCAGGTGTGAAAAACTACTGTAAAGTAAGAATGCTTTCAAAAATATATATTGTAAGAATGCTTTCAAAAATATATATTGTAATTGTTTATGTTTATCAATTTACAATGATCAGAAGAAAAATCTAAATCAAATCAATATTTGGTGTGACCACCCTTTGCCTTCAAAACAGCATCAATTCTTCTAGGTACACTTCCACAGAGTTTTTGAAGGAACTTGACAGGTAGGTTGTTCCAAACATCTTGGAGAACTAACCACAGATCTGTGGATGTAGGCTGCTTCAAATCCTTGTCTCTTCATGTAATCCCAGACAGATTCAATGATGTTGAGATAAGGGCTCTGTGGGGGCCAAACCATCACTTCCAGGACTCCTTGTTCTTCTTTATGCTGAAAATAGTTCTTAATGACATTGGCTGTATGTTTGGGGTCATTATCCTGCTGTAGAATAAATTTGGAGCCAATCACACACCTCCCTGATGGTATGGCATGATGGATAAGTATCTGCCTGTATTTCTCAGCATTGAGGATACCATTGATCCTGACCAAATCTCTAACTCCATTTGCAGAAATGCA